GGTGGGCAGACCTTTGCTCTCACTCACACCCATTTCTAATTGTCATTTGCGTATTTCAGGTCTCTTTGGACGTACCCCTCCTTGTTTCTGTATAGTGACACAAGTTGGATGTGAATGCCTGTCATAGCAGGTGGGTAACGAGATGCATATCAGAATCCAGGAGGCCCACGCACACTGATGAGAACCTCTCACTCCGGTGGCATGTGGCATATCATCTCAACAGACACCAGTAATGAATGCTAATGAGTTGTCCTCCCACTGGCCTTGTGGTGGAGTGGACCTCGGTGGTCACAGAGGTGGTGATATAGGCTCTCAGAATTGCAGTAACTGGCTGCTGAGTCATGTCCCCACAGCAGAACCTTCCTGAACTGGCAAGAAGGCAGATGACAGCCAGGTGAGAGCCATTCCCACACCTACACATGCTTCCACCTGAGAAGGGCACTTGTAAAACTCACCAGGTGATTTTAATCCATGGGCAAGTTGGAGACCCACTGGGTCAGCAGCACTGGAAGCTGATTAAAGCGTCATCACTTTCAGCCCTGACCCAGAATTGATGAATCCCAGTGTGCATGACCAATATTCCAGAACATTCCGGAGAGCATCAGAGTTTGGACACACTAGCTGGGTGTGAAAAAGAAAAAAAAAAGATTATTAATTAGAGACAACCCACAAAATAGGGCTGAAATAGGTGTGCTCATGGCCCGGACAGTGACAAGGACACTTGCTGGAACCATGCCGTTCTGAAGGATCCCCTCTGGATCACACAACTCCAGGCACCCGTGGTGGGCAGCCGTCATGATGCTGTTGCAGAAACACCCAACCATGACCTGATGGAGGTTCATCTGACACAGCCGCCACCCAGATCCGGATTCGTGGTTCATAATCTACACTTCACTATGTGTGGTGGCCTCATGCCTTACAATCCAACTCTGTTGCTTACATCCTGTGTGTCTTGGATTCACAGGGGATCTCAAGAGTCCTCTTTTCCTCCTGTGTGCTGTGGGATCCACAAGGCCCCTCACATTGAGTTTTTGACCAGAAAACTATCAAGCACCAGTAGGGAGCAGAAAGTCACCAAGTCAACATCCCCAGCACCCCCAATCTGCAACTTCAGAGCTTGGGAGGACATTCAGGGAGGACAGTGAAATCTGGCAAAGAGGTCAACTTTGCTTAGCTTCAGAATCTCCACAGAGAAGATAATATCTTGCTCAAAGGAGGGTTTATATGGTAAAGGTATCATAATGGAGAAAAAAAAAAAACCTACCAAAGTCTGTGAAATAATTTAAAGAGGTTTATTCTGAGCCCAATAGGCGTGACCATGGCCCGGGAGAGCCACACCTAAGAAGCCTTGAGCAAGTGGTTTTGCCCTTATGGGTTATGCTTTGGTTTCATCCATTTCAAGAAGACAGGGATCACACATAAAGTCATCAATCAAGTCATAGAGGGTGTCGTTGGTTTAGATGGAAAAGGTAAGATGTCTTGATGGGGTCTTGTAGATTATAGGTAGATTTAAAGATTCTTTGATTTTTAATTGATTAAGGAAATAAAGCTTTGTCTAAAGGCTTGGAATTTTTGAAGTTAATAAGTTTGTTGGGCCGCACTTGTACCTCAGTGAGTGGGTAGGGTGCCGGATACATATATCAAGGCTGGCAGGTTCCAGCCCGGCCTGGGCCAGCTAAAACAACAATGACAACTGCAAACAAAAAACAGTCTGGCATTGTGGTGGGTGCCTATAGTCCCAGCTACTTGGGAGGCTGAGGCAAGAGAATCACTTAAGCCCAAGAGTTTGAAGTTGCTGTGAGCTGTGACACCACAGCACTGTACTGAGAGGGACATAGTGAGACTCTGTTTTAAAAAAAAAGAAAAAAGATTATTAATTAGAGGCAAACCACAAAACAGGACTTAAGTGAGTGTTTAAAGAATTGGTGGCCTGAAGGTGATTTAAACTTTGTCCTGCATGGCCGTAGGTTTTGTTAATAATTTATTATCTTATTGTCACAAAGAGTCTGTTTTGTCTGTCCGATGATGTCTGTTCCATCATTAACACTGGTCTAAACTCCAAAAGGAAGGGGGTGTAACTAGGCATGTCAGACCTCCCTTCCCTTCATGTCTGGTAACTCAGTTTTAAGGGTTTTGGGGAAATTCCTTGGCCAAGAGGGGGTTCATTCAGTTGGTAGGTGGGACTTAGGATTTAATTTTAGTTTACAAAAGGTATGTTGTAGGGGAAGACAACTGGCCAGGTAGAATCTGCATCAAATTACACAAGCCGTGCCACCAGGAGTACTTTGAACCTTGGATGGGCAATGGGACCAGAGGACAGGTCAGCTGAGCATGGGATGACTGCCTTCCAGTTGACATCTCAAAAGCCTCCTCCTTCTCAATAGGAGAGAATTCACAGAGAGCACACAGGTTCTCTCAAACTTGACCCACTCTGAAAGACCTCTCTGACTTGTGATAAACCTGTTAGCATCTATCTATGGTTAGGAAGAATAGTTTTTTTCTGGTTATCCATCTCCTTTACTGGGCCAATGATAATAAGATTCAAGGCCTGGAATTGTCTCCAGGGCCAAGATTTCTGTATCTTTTTTTTTTTTTTTGGAGTTAATTTTAATAAATTTAAATTTATTAAAATAGTATAAAATATGACAAAGTAAAATATTGTTTATATGACTTAATCTTTTTTTTTTTTTTGATGGCAAAATGAAATCCAATCTATTTATTCAAATGTACATTGTACATAAGTTACAAATTCTCACCTCTGCCACTCAGCAAGAACTTTTCCAGAAAAGTCTCATTTCTTCCTTGATCCTGTTTTCTACAAGTAATGTGAAGTTACTGTCTGTGTTTTGAAGGTAATAGCTGACCTGTTTGGTGGTCTTTCTGGCTGGGTGCTGGACAAGGCCAGTGGAGGTCGTGTCAGAAGTATCTCCAAGCAGGGAGGTGGACACGGGGATGGAGTCATAGCAGTTATACAAGGCCACAGTGAGGTTGAGCAGGTGCCGTGTGGCTCCCACCCACAGGAACAGTGAGTCGGTCAGCCACATGACGTGAAAGTGGACAAGCTGCTCCCACAGCCTGGCCCTGAAGTCATGCAGGGAGACTTCCCCTGAAGCACCAGCCAACGTCCCCTCCATGCCGCCTGGCCAGCCCCCAGCTCACTACGCCTGCCTGGGTCCCCGTCGCCACCAGCCCCAATTTCTGTATCTTTGAGGTAACTTTCCGGAAAAACATTTGGAGTCTCTTTGAGAAGAAGACTCCCAGGGTGTGCTCATGAGAATATTACGGGACT